GTGTGTGTATACAGTATGTGTGCTTTGTTTATGTTTGGATTCAGATGCACCTCAAGAAGATAAAAATAAGCACATTGCATGCGCTTGCGCAAACACGATCCATCCACATGCAGCGATTACACACTGTCTGCAAATGCACAGTCCTAGTTTTTCCCAGAATGCACTGTCTTAGACATGTCAATAAATAATGATGCATACCAAATTTGTTTCTGGATTCATATACAGTACCATTCAATGGTGGGCTCTGCGTTTTTAATTAAAAAAAATAAGTTACTTATGCTTATGAAGTTTATTTGTTCAATAATAGTACAACAGTAATTTTGTGAAATATTATTACAGTCTAAAATAACTCTTTTATATTTTAATGTATTTTAAAGTGTAATATATTCCTGGGATGCAAAGCTGAATTTTCAGCATCATTGCTCCAGTGTCATGTGATCCTTCAGAAATCATTCTAATATGCTGAGTTGCTGCTCAAGAAACATTTATGATTATTATCAATGTTAAAAACAATTGTGTGACACAACTGCATGAAAAATTCTGTGCACTATGAAATAAGTTTTTCAGTTTGTGCTGTAGAATCCCTGGAGGAATTGGGTTATGACCATATTGCCAGAAACCAAATCAGTGTGTTTCCAGCACATTAGGCCCTGGAGAGCTCAAGAAATCTCATATCTGTGTTTTCAACCTGATGCATTCTGCACTATTTTATGAAGAAGTCGAGGAGTACATGACTTTGAATTCCACTCATTTGATGCGAGGGTGAGTTGCTAATTTTTAAATGTGTTATGACAGAGTACTCCAGGCTTTCATTTGGCATTTTGAGGCTAAAGCATATCTCTGTGTTTATATTGTGACAGTGTTATTTAAGGCAAGACACTACAGGTGAATACACTCTTAAAAATAAAGGTTCCAAAAGGGTGTTTTTGCAGTGATGCCATAGAAGAACCATTTCTGGTTCCCCAAAGAACCTTTCAGTGAACAGTTAAAAGAACCATTTTGAAGAACATTTTAAAAATCTAAAGAATCTTTTTTGACTATAAAGAACCTTTTCTGCGTTTGAAAGGTTCCATGGATGTTCAAGGTTCTTCATAGAACCATTGATGCCAATAAAGAACCTTTATTTTTAAGAGTGTATACTGTAGGGTGACATTTTTAAAGGGGTCATATGATGCGATTTCAATTTTTCCTTTCTCTTTGGAGTGTTACAAG